CAACAAAACAAATCATTCACATATTTTTTAGGACAGAAGTATCTTTCAGTTCAAAGAACCAGTTGAATGGAAAAATAAATATGGAAAAAATGCCAAGAATATGACAGGTGTTTGTCTGCGCATTTGAACTCGGCAGGTCTGCAGAAGATCCTTAAGGAGATCCAGCCCAAGGACAACAATGATTTCTTCACCAGTGCTAGAGAGCTGGACACACACCAAGGAGATGATCACACACAGTGTCAGACCACACCTGTGCCATTACTGGACACTGGTGGGTTACATTGTTGCTTTATACTGATTATATTTGATGTCACAAATGAATTAGCCTTTTCTTTTTAATGGATGAAGTTGTGAATTGAGTGTGTTAACAATCGGGTTAGGTTCCCTAATTTTACGATTTGCCCAATTTAACCCATACCTTCTTAGTTAATATTTTATTGGTGTCATTGCCACTATCTATAGAGATGGAATCAGTGAAACCATTAAGTCATCACTGCTTGTGGGTAGAGCATTGATGTCCTGATGGGGGCAGTGTTTTCCCTTATTATATGATACATTTACATGGTGTACAGTTGCTCTGGAGCTAAACTACTATATTTTCACATTAATAAGGAAAATATAATGGGACCCAACACGAGCAACAAAAGAAGAGATGTAATGTGGCTCTGGGACTTATGGTTTGTGATTTATACAAAACTGTAATGTGTAATATAAAGGTTTATTACATAACAGAACAAATCCATTGTTTAGTTTAAATTATTAGGTAACAAACCAAAAAGCGATCAAACATTTCCCATGTCATTTTTTTCATGTGGGTGTGTGTCACTGTTGGTGTATGTGTTGGCTTCAGGCGATGAGGGCTACAGGGTGACAGCCCAGATGGTGCTGGTATGTTGCTGGCGGAGCATGAAGGAAGTGGCCATGCTGCTGGGAGAACTGTGTCAGAGCCTGCCTCTGCACTACACCAACGACAACATGCACACACACCCTGGGCTCATCACAGAGGAACAGGTGAGATCCTGATGAGCAGATCACACCTCACCCCAACAGAAACCAAGCAGCTGTCACTTCTGTTGTTGGGTCCCAACCACTGACTTTGTCAGATAAACCTATTTAATTAATAACACACAGGCTACTATTAAAAATTCAGCTAATAGATGCATGGAGGGTCGGACTAGTTTTGGCTCATGTTATCCTCTGGTCCTGCCTCTTGACTGTATTGTCACTCCTGTCCATTTCTTTTATTAGGGATATGGTTTCATTTATCAAACACTTATTTATTCTATGTCTGTTCATCGATTTTATGCATTTTATCACATTGGCAGCAAGTTCAGAATTGGCTTTATTGGCCAGGTGTGTTGGACAGGATGAATTTGACTCTGGTACAGTGGCTCTCAATGTGCATGTACCTATCACCATGCTAGGCAACAGCAAGGGGCAAGAACACAATATACCAACATAAGGCTGTGTAGTATAACAAAATAAACAAGCAATAAACAATGTAAACAGTAAACAGACAGAGGAATGTTCATTAGGAAACGAGATAAAAATAGAATAAAAATGGAGTACTTAAAAATAGAGACCCGTATGGATCTGTATAATCTGTACAATGTATATTTACAGGTATTGCACTAAGGGTTATTGTCCAGCCATACTGTTGTGGGTTAAGTGTTAATCACAGTGACAGAGGAAGAAACTGTCCCTCTGCCTGGTTGTCTTGGCGCACAGTGACCTCTCACCAGCATGTTCTGGATCTGCCATTAAGTGTCCTACCAGTTGGATGTGTCTGGAAAGTGCCCAGGAGGCATCGTAATCATATGCCTGAACCAACTAAACCTTTTATTTTTTTTGTCTTCAAAGGAACAGCGACTGTACTTTAAGCTCTGAGTGTCTGTGCTTCTTACCCTGTCTCTAAGGGTGAGTCCAGCTGCCCTATGGCGAAAACTAATTTCAGCCATTTGTGGTTGTGATCTGATTCTTTTGCTCGCCACTCAAAGCTCGAAACCATAGGTGGCGGCTGGAATGTAGATCAGGTGACAAATCAAAAGCATTGCCATCCAGTTCAGCTCCTGTATCAGCACAATAGTCTGATGTGGCATCAATCACCCTGTCACAGTCATGCTACATTTTATCCTCACTCATGAACAAGACCCAATACTTAAACTCCCCCACCTGTGGCAACAACTCACTCCCACTTCCAACACAGCAAGAGCAGGTTTTAGTACCATGGCAACTGCTAGACTCATGTTACCTTGCCTAAAAATGTTCCCAGTATGTTGCACTCAGTGTGGTATCAAGATAATAAATGTGTTGGAAAGTAAGCCCTGACAATGGAAATCAGTGTGTGGAGAAAGTTGGATCCATACATTGCTACATGACCATGACCAGTCTGCTGTGCTGTGCACTCATAGTATGTCACATTAAGTACTCACTGGAGACTACTGGACATCGCAGGGTAACCATAATTACCTCAGAGTTACAGTGCATTATATTGATGAACAGTGGGAGCTCCATTCACATGCTCTAACTGTAATGAAAACAGAAAAGAGAAATTTTGCTGAAATGTTCACAGAGCATTTCATTCATGTTTCAAACATTTCAAATAAAGTCAGCACACTTAGCACAGATGGTGCAAGAAATACGACTGCTGCTGTGAGACATCTGCCTTTTGAACATGTCCCCTGTGTCACGCACAGTCTCCATCATTCTGTTAGTTTCTCTGCAGAACAGTGTGTTTGACAATGTCCTGGCCAAATGCAGAAAGGTTGTGGGCCACTTTAAACACAGTCCAGCAAGTGCTGCAGAATTAGAACAACAAAGTGAACATCTTATTTTAGTGTTGCAACCAAATGTTGTTGCACTTCTGTTCGTATAGCAGTACTTTTAAAACTAGAGAAATGCATTTCTTGTCGTAAATGCATGTGGATGCTAATAAGCAGAAAGATCGAAGAAAGAAAATGCCTGAAATCAATTGCTGAAACAGTTGAAAGATGAGAAGAAATGGCTGAAGTTCTTTGTTGAAACAGTTGAGAAGAAATGGCTGAAGTTTTTTGTTGAATAATCTGAAGGATGAGATGCAATAAAGTAGAAATGGCCTTGAAGAGCTGAACATTTTGATACGTGGATGGCTTTTCTAGCTGAAGGTATACTGAAGTTATTAAGATGTGAAAATATTCCAATTTGGTCCCTACAGAGTAGGTAAATCAAGTAGGTGTGAGCGTGTGTGTGTCTGTTGGCTGGGGGGGTGGGGGGGACAGAGAGAGAGAAAGGGAGAGAGGAGTTATGTAGGGGCATGTCCCAATTGTGCTGCATTTTATGAACCACCAGATGGCACTCTAAGTCTGTGTCACTGACTCAGCACTTTGAGCTCCCATTGACTTGTATTGCAAAAAAATAAAGTGAATAGATTAAAAAGTATATGTTATAATGAAAAATACAAGCAGGGATGTGCTTGAAGAGTTGAACAGAGTGAGACCTCAATGGCCTGTAAAGCTGAAAGTATGCTGGACTTAAGGGGCGGCTGTGGCTCAGGAGGTAGAGCGGGTCGTTTCCTAACCAGAGTGTTAGCGGTTCGATTCCCGGCTTGTCCAGTCAACATGTCGAGGTGTCCTCGAGCAAGACACTAAACCCCCAGTTGTTCCCGGTGATGTCACCGGTGTGTGAATGCATGAGTGCTTGGGAGTGCGAATGGGTGAATGGCCGAATAATGTGTGAAAGCGCTTTGAGTGTGCTGTAAAGCATAGAAAGGTGCTATACAAGTATAAGACCATTTACCAAAGAGGACAGAATATATTTACATTTCAGGGATGGGTTGGATTAGTTATCTGTTGCTGACATTACAACAAGGCTAAAGTAAATACTGCTGTCTTTTGTCCACAGTCAGTCTGATGAATAAACTGGAAAAGAAGGAACTGGTGGCGCAGAAGAAGAGAGAGGTGAGGAGACTCTACCCAAACTCAGCTCTGTTCCACCACTGGGGTGAGGAACTGTCAGAGGAGGAGCAGATAGAGGCCCAGAAGTTGTTTGAGAGATACGGCTACAATGCCTTCCTCAGTGACAGACTGCCCCTCAATAGAGAGATCCCAGACACCAGGCCCCCTGGGTCAGTATAACTTACCCCTGATATACACCTCATTCAAAAATAGGCAAAGTCTAATGCAACAGCCTTGCAATAAATCCTCTTTCATGAAGGTGGTAATGTTCAGTTTGTGTTCAGTTTGTTTCAGAGGTGTGACTGTTTAGGAGTTTGTAGTTAGTGCCGCTGTTTAACTAACTATACTGCATTATGTAAAGCCTGTTTGTGTTATTTAGCTCAGCCTCATTGACACACATTACCTGTCAAAGGTTTGGACACATTTTCCCATTGAACTGAGTGGGAAAGTGTCCAAACCTCTGACTAATAGTCTGCGGAAATGGGCTGCGGAAAATAATAGAGAAACACTTGTCACTGTTCTATGGGACAGAGGAATAAGATATACTGTATCAGGATGAATTTTGGAAATGCTCACATAATCCCTTCTTATCACTTAGAGCTGAAATGATTAATTATTTGATTAGTTGATCATTGGAAAATTGAAATAAGCAAAATGTCAAAAAGGAGGAGAGGAGAGGGGAGGGGAAGAGAAGAGAGGAGGGGCGAAGTAGAATTTTTCCCATTCATTTGAATGGGGCAAAACTTTCAAAATAAAGCTAAATATTTCAGTATGAAGTTTAGAAAAATTCTGAATAGAAGCATGAATGTCCTTGAGGAGCCGAACACTTTTAAATCTGAAATAGCTGAAAGTGGGCCGAAGTAGAATTTCTCCCATTCATTTGAATGGGGCAAAACTTTCAAAATAAAGCTAAATATTTCAGTATGAAGTTTAGAAAAATTCTGAATAGAAGCATGAATGTCCTTGAGGAGCCGAACACTTTTAAATCTGAAATAGCTGAAAGTGGGCCGAAGTAGAATTTCTCCCATTCATTTGAATGGGGCAAAATTTTCAAAATAAAGCTGAATTTTTCAAAGGTATGAGATTCAGAAAAATTGAGTAGAAGCATGTATGTCCTTGAAGAGTTGAACATTTTGATACCTGAAATAGCTGAAAGTATGCTGAAGTCTAATTTTCCCTTTTATATTAATGGTGCATTGTTGTGGAAAAAATATCTCTTAAAGCTCAGTGAGCGTAAAATAAATACTTAACATCAATTCTGAAAGTTATTAGATATTTATTCCTGCAGGAAGGAGTGAACTCTGAACAGAATGTCTAATACAGTCTGTTGCAAAGAAGCTCAATGAACAGAATGCGACTGCCTTTCTTATACTCAACATACAACAACAGAAAACAGATGCTCAAACAGATAAAGGAAACAGAATACTGATTAAAACAGAATACATGTTATCTAGTTCAGCATTCACACAAAGGCATGTATATCACTACAAACATGCGGATACAGTCATTTGTGTAATGTCACAAGCACACAAATAACTGCATACTTGAAAGCATCAGTTAATAAACCTAAAGGGTGGTATAAGAAAAATGACCACCACACTCCCTCCTTTTGATTAAATATTAATCACAACAGTACATACAAAAATTTTCTTAGGAACATATCAAATTTATCACACTGAACATCATAATGTAGAAGAAAACCCAAGCATAATGTTTTTGTGACACAGGCAATCATGAAGCACAAAGAGGGTGACAATAATAGGTCTACACCAGTGTGTCATCCTCAGAATCAGAGTTGTCTAAGCTATAAGCAGTCGATGAGAGAGAGTGTGTTGGGTGGCAGGTCAACAACATCATTTCAACAGTTTGAGAAACAAACCTGTAGATAGTGCTGGGGATGTAAGTACAGCAGGATGTGCCTATGATTACACAGACACCTCCATGTAAAGCAGTTAACTGATCTAAGACCATTTGGTCCTGCATGGCTGTGAGCCTGAGGCCTCTTAGTTCCTTCCTTACAGCTATAAAACCATCTGTTGTGGCATTCACGAACATAGGGAATCTGTAATCAAATGGAAC